AGATGGAGATTAGGGAAGCGAGAGCAGACAGAGGTCAGGGAAGTGAGAGCCAACAGCATACTAGGTAACTCCAAGTAGCAGGGGAAAGCTTAGGACGCAGGGAAGGAAGTAGTGAAAGACGAAGTTGTACTTCATAGGGTGCAGCTTTTTTGAAAGCCAGTGCGGGACTTTAAAATGGTGAGTGACATCATTTCTCTACTTCAGAAAGGTGTACCTGGATCCAAGATACATCTTGGGAGGGGAAAAAGTCTTAGAGCTAGAAGCATACATGTCTGGAGACCAGCACAGCAATTGGTGAGGGGCGGCAGTGACATGGGGGTGGCAGAGCCACGCGGTGGCAGCTGTGGTGCCGCTGAGTGCGTGTAATGTCTGAGACAAGAGATGTGAGGGATGGCTGTACTCCAGCCTGGGTTGAAATAATGGCAGCAGTGGTGTTTACCAAAATGAGGAGTGAAGCACCTTGGTTTTAGACGTAGGCAATATGCGTATCCTGTAGATATTCGTGGAGGTGGTTAGCACCTGACCGTGTAGTCTGAGCCCAGAAAAAAGATTAGGCCATAAGGGGAAGGAGAGAGACATTAACCTCAGAGTGATCCTTTCTGAGAATTTGACATTCCAGGTTTGTACACTGTATTTTTCTAGTAATCCATAAATTTCATAATAGTGTCTAGATGGACATTACTGCCATAAGCCGGCATTCGTTCTACCTTCCTCTTGTCTGCGTGGGCCTCTTCACTCCCTTAGCAGTGACCTGGTGAGGGCTTGCTGCAAGGCAGAGCACATAATACCGCGTGACAGCAGGTGAAGGGAAGCCGTGGCAGGATGGCTCGCCTGTTCCCATGTCACTGAAGACACCCGTTAGTTGGACATGTTTCTCTTTGTATGCTTCTCTATCAAGTACATTGGTTCAGTAATAAATGTGAGGTCACTGGAGGAAAATAACTGGTATGGGGTGGGCAGGTTGGAATTGAGAAATCTATAGAGAATTGGGGTAAGTTACCACAAAATCTGACTGCTTAAGTCAGGCATTGCTGTTATTCTGAGTTTGGTTTGTTGTTTTATTTTCAAAAAGGACAGTTGGTGTAAGTGCAGAATCATGGAGAGCAGCATTAATGAACCTAAATTGATGGTGTACGTAGCCAAATGTTATGTGATAGCTCAGCGGTACATAAATTTTAAAAACTTGAAGTGTATCTTGTAATAGTTTCAGAAGGCAGATAGGAACTCATTTTAGAATTGCAAGATATCAATGAGAATGAGGCCAAGATTAAGTTCTGATGAAATGAGATAGAAATTAGATATTTGTACTTGTGTTGCATCATTTTTATGAGATTACAGTACATAAGCTTCTATGTAAAGGTGTAAGAGTAGAAGGAAGCTAAATGATTGGAATTTTTAAAAAAATTCTTGTTAGGAAAATGGTCCGATCTACACAAAATAGATGGAAAACCCCCTTTCACTACACTACACCTAGCTTAAATGGTTTCCAGTGACAGAGCAACTTAATTCACCTCTCAACCCTCCCCATTGGGTGACCTAAAGCAATATCTAGACACCAGATTTTATTTAAAAATGTGGCTTGAGTATCTGTGAAATGTAAAGAGCTTCATGAGGTATACCGGAAAATAAAAACATATAGTTGAAGTACGGCGTTTGAACAATTTGGACATACATTAATTATGCCTATGCCACCAGTACTTTCTCTACTCCCTCTGTCCTTACCATTTTTTCACTTCCCCACCAGCAATCACTGATTGGATTTTATCAATATGTTAGTACGTGCTTTCTCATGTCATATTTAAAAAAAGATTTGTTTATGCATACAAGAACTGGGGTACAGAGAACAGTCGGGTCAGTGGAAATACACTGCTAGGGGGAGCAGCGATGGACAGGAGAGGTCTGCTGCAGTGGCTGCAATAGCTCCGTGGTAGTGCTCCAGGCAGGGGGCCCTTATGTCACTTTTTTCAGTGCAATTGAGATTATCTGTTTTCATGTACTGTATATGTGTGTATGTCAGTAGTGCATTTTTTCAACTGTTGACTAAGAACTTTTAAAAATAACCACAGTATTCCCAGCACACTCCCAAATAAAGTAGTTCCTTCTTACCTACTAATACCCAGTCACTTTTTACATTTCCCCACAGCATGCTTTTACAGTTGGTCAGTTCCTATCAGGCTGACCTAGTAGCAACTTCTTTATATCAACCTTTCTACTTACCTTCCTGCCTGCATCTACTTGAAGTTACTAGTTCATTATGTTAGTAGTGATTTTCATGGGGTGGCATGTAATTATGTAGAAATGTCAGTGGAAGAGGCAGTTTTCCTAATCCCTGTCACCCCAACACAACCACCTTTGTGTACCTTCAATCATTGACCTTATTTATGTAGGATAAGGGTTTTACAGGTAGCGAGCATTATTCAGACGGTCTTAGTGAAATTGCTCATAGTTGAGTACAGGAAAAGCGTTGAGTGCTCTACTTCCTGTTTTTCTCTGCCTGACTTTGGAGTTCCCCTAGTTCATGATTTAAATTCATCTATCGTTCACTTCTTCAATAGATGCTTGTTGTGTATCTGCTTGACTAAGAAAGTTTTGACAATTGGAACACTTCATCCAGCCTGTTCCTTCTGGAGTGAGTGATGTCAAGAATCATTTATTTTTCTTTACCTTCAGTCTGCTTTCCCTGGGGTTTTCTTATCAGAAATTGAGCATAATCAAGTCTTTTCCCATTCTCACCACTTCTTCTCCCTGTCCTGAAGTCCAGACTTCTGGTGTTGCCTCTGTCCACTTCCCTCTGTGTCTTCCAGGCCTGTCCTCCACGGACACAGCACCCATTAAAGTGGCTCACTGCATATTGCTGAATGTGTCCTCAGCCTCATTCAGTAGCTTTTTTCTCCACCCTGCCTTATTTATTTTTCTTCCTAGGAAATCTCTTTAACTTGTGCAGTATTACTGTACTTGTGACTCACTTTCCTATCTGTGCTTTTTTCCATCTCTGCTGCTATTAGCCAAACCCAAGTCTCTCTTCACCATCATTGCTGTGACAGCTTCTTTTGGTCTCCTCCGACTTGCTTCCATTGTATTAATTACTTTAAACCAAATTGATGGAGTCAGTGTCCTGCCTTCAAAGCCACCTGTTCCTGTAAGCTTTAGGGAAAAAAGGACTCTAAAATCAGGGAGAGGTTATATGGCAAGGAGCAATATTCGAGTACAGAAGGGAAAGTCTGACTCCCAGTTCAGTGAAGTTCAACTTGAAAAATAGTGAACTATTTTCACATTTGTGAATTAATGACATAAATTAGTTGTAGAGGTTAAGGTTGTCTACAGTGAGAGTAGACTCTGGAACTGGCACAGATATGTGCTTTTGGACATCCTTATTTAGTATTCAGAAGGTTTGTTGAGTGTATATTTAATTCTCTTTACAAGCACATTCATCAGGAAATTTTCTTCAAGGAACATTTCTGAGTGAGATGGGTGTATATTCTTAAACTGTGGAACTGTGCCAAGACTCAAGGAGCCTCCCTCTAGTGCTGGGAAAATTGGTGTGCTGATGGTAAAGGTGTATTTGGATGTGCCCTGGTTGGAAAAGTTTTCTAACAAAGCAGCTTATAATGGATGTGAACCAGTATGTTGCCAAGAAGAAAAAAGGTACAAAATTACTGTCAGCATCTTGTCCTACCTAAATCCTGGGGGGAGGAGGGGGCGGGAATTGGAGCTTAGTTTCTTAGGGTATATTAAGACTATCGTCCTAGACAAAAATACTATGAAAGGATGGATGTTGAGTGGGAGATAGAAGTAGACGGTCTTTGGAGACCAGCTAGTATCTGGGTTGTCAGAAGCAGGGCACCTAATGTAGCGTTGAGATCAGGAAGTCAGCACAGTGTGTTAAGTAGGAAAAAATCAATATTGTGAAAGGTTCTATCTAGCCCCTTCGTGGGCTTTCTGACACCATTGTCATACAGTCATGTGGAGCAGGGCCCTGAAACAAAGACTGAATTTTCTTAACCTGTTCAAATAAAGTGACAGGGTGGGGGTTAAAAGTAGGAGTATTTTAATCATGTTTCTTGGCTAATTTTTTTACAATTACCACTGCAGGGAAAATACCAGCACAGTATTTTCTGCAGGTCAAATGTCATGCTGCCTATGTAGCTGTTTTCATGCACTGAGAATGGCATTAAAGCCACAGCATAAACTGTATGGCCTCTGAGTTTGAAAATATTTATTCTCCGGTCTGTGAAGAAAATTTTATGGATTCCTGAAGACTAACTAGAATTATTTTTCAGCACACTAAAAGTATAAAAATAATGGGTCAAAACAGAAATGTGGGATTTTTTATACACATTTATTCACATGTCCACATAGCAGGAGCCATTTAGATAGTAACAGAAGAATACTTTAAGGTGCACTGAGATTGGTGGTCTGAGAGAGACCACAGAGGAACGGAAGGAAAGGCAGATGGCCTGGTACAAGATTATGAAAGAACTTCCTCAGCAGCTTTCCTGAGACTATGCAGGTATCTCAATAAACCTGTGCCTATAAGATGTTAAGTGAGGTGTTTTGTTTTTCTTAATGTCTGTTCTTAAGGAAGGCAGTGAGACAGCCAGAGCAGGTGCAGTAGTCCCACAGATCTACTTCATGCAATACAAAAACTTGAGAGTGATTATCTTGGAAAAATCAGATCGGTCACGCAGCAGCAAGAGAAATAATAGGCTTAGTGAGATGGGGGTGACTGTTAACCAATTAGCCCCACTGAGGCGCCTGAGTTTGTACCAGATTTGCAGAACAACCAAAAAAATTTTCATTTGGCCATCATTTTTTATGCATGCATTTCTACTGGTGGATTTCATCATAAAAGATAATTGTAATAGGTCAATACTTATTTTTGTATACTGGACAAACTTAATACTAAGCAAACTTATTTCACCTACAGCATAAAAATTCACCAGAATAATTACTGTTAACAAGATCATCACTATCTCAATACATTTTTTCATGTATTTTAGAAAAGACGCCGACGGATTGATCGAAGTATGATTGGAGAGCCAACCAACTTCGTACACACAGCTCATGTAGGCTCAGGAGACCTGTTCAGTGGGATGAATTCAGTAAGTATGAAGGTGGTGCTCTAAGTCATAGCTTATTATGCTGTGTTAACATTTTAGCTTATACACATACATGGAATATGCAGAAATGAATGATGAAGTATTAACCTCATTTGTCCAGTTTCACATCTATTTCTATACTAACGTCTAAGTACTTTAAAGCGTGTGGGTTTTGAATGTAACTTAATACCCATAGGGACTTGGAAGTTCAGTTTTTGAAAATGATTTTTCTTTTAAACTCAGTAAGTTGTTTTAGAAACATTTCTGTTGTACTTTTATCCTTTACATATTTGAATGCTTGAAATTACTGTAAAATAATTCTCATGCATTATGTGCAAGGCAGCAAAAATTTGTAAGATACAGAGAACCAGAAAAAATCTTTTAGAAAGGTTTTACCACGAGTGTTGTTTCTTTTAATTCATCGGGAATCTCTACTTCATTACTTAGGGCTTGCTTCAAAGCAGTACTAAAGATTCTCATCCCCCTCTGTCTAAATAGATTGGCTGATCTGTGTAGAAAACCCTTACTGAAAGTATTAAGATTCATGGTATACTCACTATATAACACTAATGAAAGACTTCACAGGAGAACAGAGACCTTTAAAGTAGGAAGATGGGTTTCCTGGATACAGCAAACAAGTTTGTCACTTCGGTTACTAGGTAATCAATGGAATGACATTTGTGACTTCCTGGAAAGGAAACAGCTTGTTTGTTTCAAACCTGCAGGAAAAACACTTTGTTTTACTCAACTGCTTTTGTGGAAATGAGTGGAATCAGGTTTCTGTCAAAATATAATTCCTGTCTTTGTTTTCTGATTCAGTGTGGAGTGAAATGGGCCTCTGACTTAATATGGTTAACTGTATAAACATTGAATGGTTTTTTCCTAATGTGTTTCTCAACTCTTTCCCTAGTTCATTTTTTAAAACTTTACAAAATGAACTAAATTTTAGTTCACAATATTTAACATTCAAAATCTTGTTTATATATATTTCCAAATTTCCTTTTATATTGTCATGTGGTGTTTTGTCTCATGGAAGGAAAAAAAAAGCTATTAATGGCACACGTGACTCTTGGCTTGCCATTGTTAGGTAGACCTGAATACCTTCCACATTTATCTCTTGAGTTGCAGGCCAGTTTCCAAACAGCCTTCTCCACTTACTTAAGTCGAAGAGTAAAAATCTGTAGAACTCAAGGTGTCTTCTAGTCATCTTTGCTTATTAGAGTGCTTCTAAAGGCAGCTTCAAATTCCCTCCCTTCCAGGGTCCCCTGTAAGTATCATTGACAGTTCTTACTTCCAGAGTTACTGCACAGACTAAATTAAATACAAGACAGGAAAAATCATAAATTATATCATTTTTTGTTGTATAGCTCCAGGGCTACGGCCCTCTCATCATCTCTACCCCCTTGGAGACATGCTATCTACACAAAGAAATATTTTGTCATAATTTTATCTTAAGTAAACAGGTACTATTAAGAACATACCTTCATGTAGAGATGCATTATGTAAGAATAGGAGGATACTGTTGGTTTCCAGACATGTTAGATGGGACGTTATTTTGTGCCAGGAAAGAGCTGAAAAGTTAATTTAAGCTGATTAGAAATGCTCCATTTGAGGCCATGGGTGTCCTGCAACAAAGTTACTTTGTTTTCTCAAGTGCTCATCTCACCTCTCAGAAACATGTAAACTTTGAGCTGAGCCCAGGCTGCAGGTTCTGCCGCCTCCTCTTCATGCCATCATCTGCAAAAACCTTCTTGCTGCTGCTTTTGCTTAGCAGTCTAGCCCGATCCCTTTCCTTCTCTGCTTCCAAACGACTTCCACGTGATAGAAGATTGATTGATGAGCCAAGAGCACCTCACAGTTCTGTAGTATGAGAAATGAGAGTTCACTTAGTACACTATTAAATCAATTTGAATGACAATTCAAATCTTTGGAGTCTGAAAACTCTTGTTCACTGTCAGACAACAGTAAGCCCTCAATAGGTTCTTGAAAATGGGACCCCAGTGAAAACCAGGTTCTCAAATCATATTTCATTCAGCATTATTTTTCTCTCATCAAGGACCTGCTATCACACATAAATTTTCCTCACTTTTTCTGATTTTTATTGAGTTGATCATCATGTACGTGCAATGGCTGTAAACTGAGACACTTGAGGTTGAATACAATGGTGAGCTGATCTATCTATATACTTCTGGTTTTGAACTGTTATCAAAGATTTGCGAATTATAAAAATTTTTATATTTGGGGGGAGGGAGGGAGCTGTGGCCAGAAATGTTTCCACAAATGACTATTTTCCCTTGCAGCTGGAAAACTTTTAAGTGTAGAAAGCTATCTCAATGGAAAAAGCAGGCCAGTTAAAACATTGACAAGAATTGCGGATTGTGTTGGCCTTACCACTTCACTCCTGATGTTTCAGGTTAGCTCCATTCAAAACCAGATGCAGTCCAAGGGCGGCTACGGGGGCGGGATGTCAGCTAACGTGCAGATGCAGCTCGTGGACACGAAGGCAGGATAGCCCTGGGGACCTCCTCGGTGAGTACCTCAGAGCTGGGGCACAATTAAGCCTAAAATATACATCTGTTAGTTTTAATTCTCATTTACCTCACTAGTTCAAATATATGCAGACAATGGGCTCTGAGATTCTAGTGGTAAGATTATGCTGACATGGCCTCTGTATTGATACACTGGGAAAGCCCATGTGTGTGAAGTAATTGTATCTAATATTGTAAAATTTAGGACAACTTTTTAAAAAAGGATTAACTCTTGTTAAAGTAGAAAAATAATTAAAATTTTTCTTTTGGTTTTATAGGTCATTGTGAATTTTGTTTTCTTTCCACTATTCTTGAATTTTTTTTGTGTGTTGTGATTGTTTTTCTTTTCTTTTTAATTGCAAAAAAGAAATGTGATGGCGTCTTGTTCAGCCTGTTGTGATTACTCCAGTGAGATGTTACTGTTCTGCTCCGAAGAAGCTATTGTCAGACGAATCCTGCATTTCCTTCAGCCGGCATGCATGCCTCTGGACTTATGGACAGAGTTCTTTGGGTTGTGGCTTACTTTTTTATCAATATGGATCTGATCTTAGCATGACCTTTTTTCGTGAACGCTCACATTGTTTCGCATTTCCCCCCATTTTAAACAGTTCTCTTTGCACCTCCAGCCTTATGGTTTTATTGGTAAGCAAGGACTTACTTGTCACCACTTATATTTCAGGAGGTATGAGATTCACAAGCACAATAATCATTTTTATTCATTTAAAACTTCAGCAGAGTAGGTATTCTGCATGCTTTTTCAAGTTGGTTTCTATGAAAGCCCATGGGATGCAGCAATGATTTCTGTGTTTCCCTGGGCTGATGATACTGCTGCTATTAGAGAAAGTTTAGCTGTGGCGCCACATCACTTTCACAGAAAAAGATGACTTGTAGCTAACTCTTAGAAATATGACTTTTGCTGTTAGAATTACAATAAGAGAAAAGCTTGCACTCATTCTGTTGTAAATGTTCACTATTTATTTTGAGCAAGACCTGTGATTATCAGCAGATAGACTTATGTATTATACTTTGATTTTGACCATCATCATCATCTTAGTAGCCATCAATCTCTTTGTGTACTCACTCTGTTTTGTTACCCAGATATTTCCAGGAGCAGGTTGTTGAGAATCTGGCTTATACTACTAACTGCAGAATCACTGGTGTTACTGCCAGTGAAATAACCTGTATGGTGTGATGTTTTATGGTATTTGTGAGAAACCTTCACTCAGGTTCCAGAATATGTATTCACAGGTTGCATTTCAGATATTTCTGTTTCTTCCCTACTTGAGTGTAAAGACTTTCGTCTCTTTCTTCCCACCCCTAGTCCCAGGTTCCTGTGCAGGAGGCAGTTGAAACAGACAAAACATGAAAGCATTTCTTACCCCCGCTCCTTTGTATTTACCAAGAGGGGCACCAGGACCACGCAGTCATTGTGCTTCTGCACTGTTCAGCCTTCCTCAATGTCAATCCAGTCCCAAACAATCTGTCAGCAAGAATATGTGGAATTTACAAATAGGCATTTTGCAAATTAATAACTAAAATTCTTCTAGTGTTTGCCATTAATTCATTGTGAGCACCTGCCATCTGCTCAGAGGTGCTTTGCAAGGTCTTTAGGAGATGACTTGGGTGTCAGCTCTGATGCTGTTCAGTATACTTCTGTTTGACTTGTATTAACATAGGGAACCATGGTCCCATTTCCCAACTCTGTGATTTTACTGTTTTTTTCAGTCCCTGTATTTTTGCTTCTCCAAGGACCAAATACTCCAGTGACTGCTGGAGCAATCTCCACGGTAAGCCAAAGGCTGCGCCTGCCACTGTTGTGCAGCAGCCACCCTGTGTACAAGAGCATATATATGCTGGGGAAGGTGCCTGTACATTCAGGAAACAACAGTTTTGAACATTTTAGGATACAAACCTTGGATACAATTTTTTTTTAGGGAGAGTTGGTAATTGGAGTGTGTGAAGGAAGGCAGCTCTACCACATTTGTATGTGGGATTGCAAATCTCAGGAGGCCATTTGTTCTTAGAGCACTGCATCTCATTTTAAAATTAAAGGTCATTAATTAGGATTTTCCTACTCAAAATTAGTCTTAATATTCTGCTGAAGTACAAACTAATACCTGTTAAACAAGAGAAACTGAATAAAGGTTTAGCAATGAGAGGTGCTTTCCCGGGTTGTGGGCATGAACTGGTGCCAATGAGCAGAAATGTGAACTCTGGCAGCTGGGTTCCACATTTCCAGTGCAGCATTATTAGTGGGCCTTTAAAATACTTTGTGAGTATATTAGCTTCTACTTTTGTTATTAAATTATAGCATTTTCATTATAGAGAACAAGTTTGCCTTGATTTTGTTTAAAATGACTTCTGCTCAGCACCCAGAAGATAAAATGGACATATTTTTATAATATAAGCATACTTTTTTTGTACATTGTGTTCATTCTTGAATAAAGTGACTTTAGTGTTGGCTTGTAGATATTAAAAAGTATTGATTTTGATTGAATAAATGTTTTCTTCCAATCTAGGTTGGTGGTGCAATGTTTTTTTGTTGTTTTTAACAAGGTATCAATTTTTCCATGCTAATATGATAATGCATATTGACCATTCTGTTTCCCATACTATAGCCACTTTCCTTAAAAGCTTGATGTTTGCTCCTAGAATAACTGATTTAGGGCAGTACATCAGGTTCCTATTGTGGAAGGAGGGGACAGTCTTATTCCCTAAGGAACATCTGGCAGTATTTTTGGTGGGTGCTGCTGCCATCTGGTGGGAGATAATGTGGTGACTATTCATTCACTATCTGTGATCAAGAACAGCAGAGCCTTACCCAGCCTCAAATGTTGACAAAAACCCTTGGTTATGGCAAGACCAGAGTCTACTCACCAACTACATCTTGATAGAAAGTCCTCTTGTGCAGAGGGTACTGAGGCTTGTCTGGATCATGGGAAAGTACCACGCAATATCCTGAAAACAGAAAAATCAATAATCATGACTAAAGGTTGCACAAGAAACTTAGATTACATAAAATCTACACAGTCCAGTGAGATATCTGAAGGAACTGTTGTTGGTATATCAGAAAATCTGTTTTCAACAGACAGGAAGAACACAGACAAAGCAGACTAATCTATACAGCATGACACACAATCTAGATATATGAACTTAAGATAACAAAAATCTACACAACTGATACCCACATGTAAATTATATACCATCTGCTTTCAGCAGACTGAAAAGCAACATCTACCTTCCATTTTCTGTCTCAATCCACAGGGGTCCAACTAGAGAACCATTTCATAAGTACCTCAGGACAGTTTTTAGTGCCTTAGTTTTCACAGTTTGACACCCTAACAGGCTGCTGTTTGCGTTGTCTTCTATTAAATTGAGACAGCCCATCACACGGTTTTCTGTGTGACTTACCTTTGATGCACAGAAGGAAAAAAAAAAACCTGATCTTGAAGGTCTTAAGCAACTGCCAAAAAATGGTGATCTTGGTATCAGAAGGATGAGTTGTACCTCACTGAAAGGTAATTGAAGAGTACAGGAAACAGTTCACATCTAACCCCATTTTCTGTTCCCGTAAATCCAAGCTCCAGAGCTCACTATACACTCAGTGAAACCTACATATTGAGTGCCTTTAAATATGTCAGTGGGAATCCAGGAAGATTCCCAGGCAGTTAGTTTTGATGCCCCTCTGAAATAGCAGCTAGTAAAACATGCACTGAGCCCTCTGGCTCCACCTCACGGCTCCATGGCATGGAGAGCCTTGTTGGGTACATGTGCAGGCATTGCCAGAAGCACATTATTTGTCGTTTCTGGGTTTCTTCAAGTCAGTACTGTGCTTTTCAGAAATAGTACAAATACTTAAATGTCACTATTTCTTGCTTTTGTCAGACTCACCCACATTCAGAATCCCAAATGTAATGATTGTTGAATTGAACTTCTTTCCAGTATCTTACAGTAGCTGTTCTGATTTTCACTGTTTGGGTGGTATCTTAGTCTCTTCAGGCTGTTACAACAAAAAAAGTAACAGAAATTTATCATAGTTCTTGAGGATGGAAGTCTGAGGTCAGAGTGATGATCAGGTATAGTCCCTTTCCTGGACTATTTCACCATGAATTTTTTGGGCTTCAACATTCAGAATACAGCACACAGATCAGGCGAGTAACTGGCACGTCTGTGTGTAGATGCAGCCATAGCCGAACTGTGCAGCTACAACCAGGATCTGCCACTACTACACCCCAGAGACGGCCACAACAGCCCCTTCTCTTTCCAGTCTGTCATTCCGAGGAAACTCCTAACAGTTTAGAAAAATGTCATGGGTAAGTTATATTTGGTGGTTGAGAAGGGAAATGCAGGACTCAAGTGGTTCAACTTGTGATTAATAGAAATCTTACAAAAAGCAAAGAAATGCTCTGAAGAGAGAATAAAAAAAATTTTTTTTTCCTGCTTCACAATCCTTACCTGACTTTTTGTTCTGAGAATCACAGTCAGCTATGGGAAACCATTACTTCTCTGATTAGTCCTTTTGAGGACAACCAGATTTCTCAGCAGCAACACCAAAGTCCATATAATGGAACTTACTGGGAGAAAATGATTTGAACTAGTGTTTCATCTATAGCCAGACTCAGTGACATAAGATTGCAAAAGAAAGCTGTGCAAAGAATGAAAATTGCCCACATTTTTACGTAACTGGAGAGTGTGAAAGAACAAGTACAACAAAACTAGTGTAAGTGAAAGAAATCTCAACTTCTAGGTGAGAACCAAGTTAAAACAAATTGCTTTTAGGGAAACTATTTACCAGTTAAAAAGTCATCATTTAATAGCTGAAGATTCAAACATTCAAAATTTTGTTACTGGGCACCATGTTCCTCGGTACTGTTTTGGCACTGGGGATGAGTAAACTGTCCTCAATGAACATTCTAGTTGGGGGGGGGTGCAGAGAGACAGACCTTAAACCAAATAATTACCCAAAAAGGTTAGAAAATAAGCACTCTGGATAAAGAGTTGGGGATGTGGGAAAGGAATTGCAGTTACAGTGTTACCAGGTTGAAGGGGTGATACTGAAGCTGAGAAGATCTTAATAATATGGTGACAAAACCAAGTTTTATTGTCAGTAAGCAAGAAAGAATTCTAGCTATTCTAGTATCCAAAAGTAAGACATGGGGCTGCCCTGGTGGCACAAAGGATTAAAACAGCACTATAAAGCTATCTTCAGCCACTGCTATATGAATTTGATCTCTGGCCAGAGAGTGACCCACATGGCGCAGCAGACCTCTCCTGTCTTGACACCCATGCTCCCCTCAGCAGTGTACTTCTGTAGATCTGCCTGTTCTGCTCCCCATTCTGTTTTTGGTGGTTCCTCTCTGGCCTGTACCCCATAAATCTTTTTTTTAAAAGGGGTAAGACATGGCATGAAATTATACTTGAGTTCCTAGACCACAGCCACACAAATGTTGTGGATGAAAAAAAAGTATTTTTTTTGCTTGAGAGGTACTGTTTTTGGTGACAATTCCATTTCTTTTACCAGTTGTACAGCTAATTATGAAAGTATTATGACTACTCAAAACTTTAAAAGAGCATGTGAGACCTTTAAAGTGACAGGATGGAATATGGTAAAATTCATAAGCTACTGTAGGGAAAAGAAACTGAAAACTGTGACGTACTCATCTTTACATATGTACTGTCAATTCATGAAATATTGGCTACTTGATTGTGTAAAATATGTGAATTAATGAATTAAAATTATTACTTAGGGTTATAAAAAATCTAAATAGAAAAAAAATTATAATATGTGCATTTCAAAGTTCAAGACTCAAGACATAAAAATATGCCTACATTTTTTAGAATTAAGGAAGTCATCCTTGAATGACAAATTCAAGTGACTATACTATTTATCCATAGGAAGCAGAAATGTATGTGGGGGTGAATGAGACTAACTTCTCATTTCATGCCAATCCTGTTTATATTTCATTTTCTATGTACTATGAATTTCATAATAGTGATACAAAATAAAATAACATCTCCAAGTAGATTAGAGGGCCAGATGGACGATTAGATAACTACAAGCTTTTATTTCCCCCCGAAATACACAAAGAAAACACCTGAAATGCATTTAGAATTCAGCTCAGAAACTGACACAAGTGAATGAACAAAAAAGAATCCCTCTCCAAAGGGTAGAAATTCACCTTACATTCTCCCATCCACTTCCCAATGTCCTTGGGATTAAAGGGAAAGGGTGACACTTGCTCATAACTTCCTGATTTGTCTGGCCTGCCTGAGGAATTGCTTTGCCCTATACTGATGGGGATGGTGGCATAATTTGTGAAGGAGATTAGCAGCTGTTGAAAGCAGAGGTGGA